AAATAGTTGTTATACCGTATTGTTTTATTTGCATTTTATTGTTGTATTCTTATTTTTTTGTTTTTTTCTCAAATAACTTCAATCCACGGTTGGTTGAATCTATAAATGTGGAACCCACAGATGTGGAGGCCTGATTATATTATAATATTTTGTGAGCCTATATATACACATTTGTAAAATCCTCACATTCTCTTTGTAAAAATGTTCTCTACTAGAATTTTACATATAGTTTTATTTATATATGCTGTTCATTTTTGAACCAGTATCTCATCTTGTTATCTCATGCTTTCTGGTGTTCCATGATGCATTATATTCCTTGTGTCAACAAAAACCACAAAGATAAAAACTCATCAGTCAAACGGGTGAGTTTCACATAGGCCACGTAAGCAGCAAAAGACCCTTTACTTTCGGCACCTTCCCTTGTGGACTGTGTAGCATAAGCTTCTGAACTGAATTGTTTTGTTACCTACTATGGTCACTGCCAATCAGTGTGGCTGCCTTTTGAATTACCGCAGACATGGACCACTGCTGCTCAGAGGATTTTCATCTTTGAGGCATTCCACCATCTGATACACATGTATTTTAGCTGTTACCCTAAATGTTGATGAACAATGAGCCATTTCCCTTTGCCTTTCTGTCCAGTCCCTCATAATATGTGAACACTACAGATATTAAAAAATAATTTCTTCTATACCTCTCACAGCAACAGATAGCTCTTAAGTTTTTAATTGACTTACACACTATTGATGATTAAGATATTCAGAATATGGTTTATTGGAAGAAAAAAACTGGATGTGACATAAGAAGACCTAGATTTGCATTTTGGCTCTCCATTAGTAGTCTGTGGATTATAGATAAGACTTTTTCTTATGAGCCTCAGTTTTATAACACATAAAATGAGGATAATAATTCCTATTTACATCATAGGGTTGTCTTGCAACTCAAGATGATGTAGAGGGAGTATCTGTGAGTTATAAAGTGCTCTACAGAAATGTGTTAATATCAGAATAATTACAGATTCTTAAGAGTCCCAAAGACTAAGCCCTGTTTAAGAATTCATACATAGTAAATGGGATTTCAGTGTCACACACAATGGACACTGGTAGTAGTAGACTAATAAAAAATTAAATATACAAGGCTGTTCTGATCTTCCCCACCTCAAGATTTAAATTTTGTTTATAATCCTTCATGTCACATAAACGAATGATTCTTCTAACACATATGTACAAATAACTTCTTCATCTAGTATCAAAGAATGCTAAAAGAAATTCACCTCAGTTTTAATTTCTCACCTAAACTGTACAGTTATCCAACCGTGTTTTTTGTTTTCATGCATCCTTAATTTATGTAACGAGGCTAGTGCCATATCTTTGCAATATTTTTCCTCTGTGTCCCTCTGCATGATACATTGGGCTACGTTTGTGAGAATCTTTGCCAAATGCAGGGAAAATTTCATTGTACAGTGCCAGAAAAGAGAAAAATGAGCATACAGTAGCATCTTTTTCTCCCCAATAACAGTGTCAGCAATTAACAAATGTAATCAGGCAAACTAAGCAAAGCTTAGAGAGTAAAGGATAGAGTCTCTTTGAGATTCAGGATATTACAAATGCTTTCAAAGTGGTCAACACAGTGAAAATGCTATCACAAGCTTCTGTATTTGTAAAAGCAGCATTCTTTGAAGCACTTCCCTTATCTCATCACCAGCTTGGAAACATGCCTATCTTTGCAGATTACATTACCATGCCCTGTTCTTTAGCAAGAACTACAGTTGACTCTTGAACAACACATATTTGAACTGCACAGGTTAATTTATATGCAAATTTTCTGCAGTCTCTGCCACTCCTAAGACATTAAGACCAATTCCTCTTCTTCCTCCACTGATTCCATGTGAAGATGACAAAAATGAAGACCTTTATGATGATCTACTTCCACTTAATAGTAAATACATTTTCTCTTCCTTATGATTTTCTTAATATTTTCTATTCTCTAGTGTATTTTAAGAATACTGTATGTAATACACATAGCATATAAAGTATGTATTAATTGTTTATGTTATTGGTAAGGCTTTCAGTCAACAGTAGGCTAGTAGTAGTTAAGTTTTGGAGGCATCAAAAATTATACATGAATTTTTGATTATGCAACAGAGTCAGCATCCCTAGCCCCCACATTGTTCAAAGGTCAACTATATACTAATTGCCTGACCATTTGAACAAAAAGTTGCTGAGACATCTTCTAAACTAAGCACCTAATAGTCCCTTTGCTAGTGACCTGATGAGCAGTCTAAAAATGAATAGAGGAAATGAGAAAGAATGGGTTTCCTTGTCTCAGTGCAGCTCTCTCCTCTATATGGCTATGGCAGTATCCAACAACCACAGCATTCTCCAAATCCACTTGAAGCTTTTGGGATTGGGTGAGGACCAAACATGATGTGCTAATGTTATAGGAGTTACTAAGAAATTATTTTAGGCAGATAGATAGGAAAAGGGGTCCTTGGGAAGTTTTTCTTTCTTTTAAAGCAGCTCCAGAAATGTTTCTTGTCTAGCAGGAAAGCCCAGGCTCTTAGAGTTGGGCCAGCAAGCTTTGATACGCAAATGCAGGCCATTGGAAACTGGGTCCACACAAACATGGCCATTCCCACCATCTTCTTCCCCTTGCCCCAACATGTTCCTGGCAACATGGCCGTCCCCACATATCCCCACGTGTGTAGAACATCACGGCGCCCTACATTTGCACATTAAAAAGCTAGGGTGGGAGGGCCAGTTTTCTCACAGGCTATGTGAATGACATACCTGGTCAAACCAATCCCCTGAGCCCTATGCAAATCAGACACTGCCTCCTCCAGTCTCCTCATATAACTGGCTGTTTTCCACCACACTCCAGGTTTCCTCTCTCAGCTGGAAGCCCCTCTCCCTCTGTCTCTGTAGGCCGGAGCTTCTTCCTTCTTTGTTGCCTATTAAACTCTCCACTACTTAAAACCACTCCACGTGTGTCTGTGTCGTTTTATCTAACTCGGCGTGAGACTAAGGACCCTGGAGTTCCCCCAGCCATTGGAGCTGTATCACTACTCTGGAAGCTTCCACTGACAGCTGATTTGCGGGCAGGCCATGGCACAGATTAGTCCCAGAATTCTGAATAGTGTTTAAAAATTTTATTCAGTTTTAAAAATTCCAAACCATCAGAGATTGCCATCTTTTGTGAAGATTTGGAAAGAACCAGAATAGCTAGGCCTAATCAATTTCCAAGGGAAGCTCTGGAGAAAACAGGAACAAAAGCTGATTCAGCAAGATTCAAGAAGATATTTTCCGTGATTGATCCATAATCCTTGGAGCTTCCTACCGGGGCCCATACAAGGGTGGGGCAAGCAAAATGCAACAGAAGGAGGAACTCTCAGTTGCTTATATGACTCAAGTCCCAGTCATGCTGCCTACAGAAGCATCTGGTCAAATAACTTCATTTTTACCCATTAAAAAAACAATGAAGATATAGTTAGTCAGTAAGGACAGTAATGGGCAGATACCACTGCTGTATTCCATTACACTTTAGAACTCTCAAAACACTTTTACATGTATTATCACATTATGCCAACCACAACTTTCTGAGGCTAGAAGTGCAGAATGTATTAATCCCACGTCAGGGATGAACAAACAAGTTTAGGGAGTTTCTAGGATTTGATCAAGGTAGTAGAGGTAGAGCTTGAATTCAGGTCTTTTGTATTCAGTATTCTTCTCAGTATACACACCAAATCTTCCTCTGAGGTCCTTCATAGCATTCTAATTTTATGATTGTGAAAATTAATAAAATTTAAAAGCTGTTGGAACCCCCCAAAACACTTTAAGCCTTGGGAGAGATGTGACTGTGGTTTCAGTCACATAACATATTTTGCAATTCTGCTTCTTAGGTTATAGTTTAACACTCTTCCTCATTGCTGATGTTTTGTAAATGAATAGCAAAGACCAAAGGCCAGACCTCCCCCTTTCAGTCACTGATCTTTGCTACTCTTCCTTTATTATCCTGTACCTAACTCAGACCAGATGGTGCCCCAAACAGAGACCCCATGACAATCACATCTTCATTGTGGAATGTTAAATATACCTTTCCTGAAAGAAAAGGACCACCTGGATCAATCAGGTCATTGTAACTATGCAGTAAGCCTTACATAGAAAGATGTTAAAATTCTGTTAAAATATCCTAAACTTTGTCTATTCAAGTGATCCCCAAACTTCTACAATTGGAAACAGTGATTTCCATTCTTTGGAATCAGTGCTTTCCAGATGAGTCCATCCTCAACCTTTGCACTCGAATAAACTCTTTAAACTAGATTCTGACCCTTTTGATTATTTTAGGTTGCCATGATATACATTAATTAGAATTATTTATGAAGTCCCTCTCATGGCTGCTTAATATTAACAAGGAAATGAACTTAAATTTATCTGTTGTCCACTGCCCATAAGCAGCCTTATGAGAAGGCAAAAATAAACAAAAGGAATTCATCTAATGGTTCGTAATGCTGGGCTTTAAAAAAAAAAAAAAATTACAGATCAGCCTCACAGATGATTATTTTTACTACTTTCATTGGCTGCATAGTAGACTCTATTTTACGTTACTAGCATGAAAACAGAAAACAGAAAAAAGTTGTAAAGAAGCTGGGTTTGGGGAAGGTCTATATATAGAGTATATCTATATATACACTATATATTATAGTATATATATCTATATATATACACTAATACATATATACACACTATATATTAGTATATATATATTGATCCATCTCTCCCTGTACTGGGAGGTCTCTACAAGAGAAGAAAATCAAAGATCCAGAGAACAAATGTGGTTGATGGTCTTTCTCTGCAAAGCCCTGCTTCAGACAAAAACTTTTTAACACTAACAAGAAATACAATTTAGGTGTCCACAAATATACTATGAGTTAGAAATTTAATTTCCTGACTATAATAGCTACAGAGACAGTCTAAATTACTTAAAAGGGAAGAGAAACTTACCCCTCCCCATGTTTTCTTGTGGTTTCTGGCAGGTCCCTGGATGACGATTCCCTGTACAAAACAGAGCACATACACACAGTCAGACTGACAGAGGCTGAGTGGTTACATCAGATAAGCTCCAGTACAGCTGATGTGGTCAATGTGAGCATTTCATTTCAGTACATTCCAATCTTTCTCCCTTACATAAATGTTTTCTCCCTCACAAACAGATAATCTAACCTCAGAGGACAGCAGCACAATATTCTGGAAGCAGGGGCTCTATATCAACTAACTATGACCTTCTTTATCTGATACTAGTTTCTGTCCGTGCCAAGTAACAATCCCCAAATTGGTCACACACTTATCTCTTCAGAAAACAGCAGTATCAACACAAATGGCAGACAAAAATCCCAAAAGGCCCAAAGCTAATAACCAGGCCAGCAAGTTACTAGCTCTCCTGTCTCTGGCTTCCCTTCAATATCATTCTGTGACAAATTCAATAGCCTTTATAGCGTAACATTTTCCCAAATGGTGTAAAACAACAGCATCCCTAATCAAATTAGCCCTGAGGCAAAGCAGCCCACAGAGTTATTTCCAATAAACAGTATGAATCAATGACCATAAACTACTGACAACAGAAACTTTGGAGAAACAAAAAACATACACTGCAATTACAGAGAAAGGGTGTACACAGGGGAACAGAAATTGTTTCCAAAAGATGGAAAAAAAAAACCCTCATACATACACAGAAACCAATTCATATCATAATGCTTCATATTCTCACAGGGTTCAATCATAGAGCTATCATGCATTTACTATTCACTTATCTTGTTCCCAATATGAAACTAAGCACCTGAAAGGTAAAGCTATAAGACATAAACTATCAGTCCATTAAGGAATCTATAACCTACTTGAAGTTAAGCAGAGACCACTGAGGAATAAATATTAGACTGAGACCTGATAACCAACTGTGTGACACCTGATCAATCATTTTCTATCATAAATTCTTTGCAAAAGGAGGAGGCTCAACTATATGAGTTTTCCCAAATTATTCTCCACAGCGTCAGGCCTCTGAGCCCAAGCCAAGCCATCGCATCCCCTGTGACTTGCACGCATCCCCTGTGACTTGCACATATACACCCAGATGGCCTGAAGTAACTGAAGAATCACAAAAGAAGTGAAAAGGCCCTGCCCCGCCTTAACTGATGACATTCCACCACAAAAGAAGTGAAAATGGCCTGTTCCTGCCCTTAAGTGACGACATTACCTTGTGAAAGTCCTTTTCCTGGCTCATCCTGGCTCAAAAAGCTCCCCCACTGAGCACCTTGTGACCCCCACTCCTGCCCGCCAGAGAACCCCCCTTTGACTGTAATTTTCCACTACTCACCCAAATCCTATAAAATGGCCCCACCCTTATCTCCCTTCCCTGACTCTCTTTTCGGACTCAGCCCACCTGCACCCAGGTGATTAAAAAGCTTTATTGCTCACACAAAGCCTGTTTGGTGGTCTCTTCACATGGACGCGCATGACACACAGTATGTTAAAAAGTGTGTTATTCAAAAACAGGGCTCTCTGATCTGGTAATAGGGCAGAAACTAGTCCCAGATAAAGAAGGTCATAGTAAGTTGAAATAGAGCCCATGCTTCCAATGTAGGAAATACTGACTTAATTTAATCAGGTTTCTTTATTATAAGACTTTTCAGAGCCTTTAAAATGCTACTGAGCAATGGGACAGAAGTACAGTCTCAAAGTATTTAGCTATATAGTCCTTTCTGTAAGCAACGGGCATTTCTCAGGAGTCTTGTTCTTTGGCGCTCATTTTGGAAAACTGGACAAGATAACTGCTAAAGTTTCCTGCAGCTCTGAAATTCTGTTATTTTCTAACAACGCATTAATCATATGGAACAAAATTAGCATAAAGTGAATCAAGAAAGACGTCAAGGGGGCTGGATTCTCAGATAATTTTGGAGTTGAAAGGAACTTTAGAAATCATCTAATGACTTCTCATCAACGCATCTTTTTTGAAAGCAGCAGACAGCCCTCAAAAAATTTTATGTGGACCACCAATATATAAAAAATGGGTTAGGATGGAACTCTTCAGGCAGAATTGGTGTGGTGGGTTGTAGTCTCACCCATTGAGATTTTTTTCTGGAGGTGACCTGGACATACCTCATCAGAAACCTAGCACTACAGGAAGCACAATTTGAAATCCAGTGACTCCTGACCCTTCAGATAAAGCTAGTCTGGGAAACCTTTAGGGAAGTGTTAGAACTCATACCTTCTCACAGGAAGGTTCTCACCCTTCCCAAGTATCATCTCAACTTTAACCGTAACCCATTCAAATCACATAAATGAAATAATCATTATGTCAACATAACTATAAAACCATCCTTACACCAGGAAATACCAAAAGAAAGTTAATATACTAAAATGTAATCCATGTACAAATGAGAAGCCATGAAAGAGTTAAGCAGGGCAGTGATATAGCTAAATTGGGATTTTAAGAAGACACTTCTGGCAGCAGTAGGGAAAGGAGATTTGAGGTATGAGAGTGGCTTGACCAGGGACAGTGATATCAGAGATGCTAGGTAAATCTGGCAGGACTTCTCGTATTTTATTTCTTGTTTATTCTTTAATATTTAATAAAGTCTTTTAGAAAAGAATCAAGCCTATTTCAGTTGTGTTAGGAGAAACCACAAAGGAAAGGGCTGTCAGGCCTGGGCCAGAATTTTCAAAGAGGAATTGCCGCTCCAGAGGTCAGCATGGTGGAAACAAGAAGCATCATTGGAGGCAGCTATCTTCCAGGGGAAGATAAAACCAAGGAGGCAAAAATCAATACTACATGTCAGCCACCTCATCTAGCGTTTCAGTAATAAACCTCCAAAGATCAGCATCTTATTTTAAATAAGACAATTTTCTTACAGCGATAAAAGGCTCAAGGCCTACTACCCATATCACCTCAAACCGCAAACTCCCCCAGGCCCAGGTTACCTCCTTGCTTCTTCTGATGTCATGATCTTTCCATTCTGATCCTCTGCTGTTCTAGTCTCTGGTCTCTTCTTTCAGCTAGTGTGTGTGTGTGTGTCTGTGTGTGTGTGTGTTAGTTTTTAATACTTCTCTAAGCAGCAGTATTTATTTATCTTGATTCTCAGTCAGGTCCCCATCCCAAACTAAACGTTACTTCTAAAATAACGGCAATACACTTAAAAACAACAATAACAACAAAGTAGTTTTTAGCCAGACATTAGAAAATCAAATAATCTTTGTTCCATGGATTAATCCACCCTGGCATTACACGCCCTCTACAACCAGATTCCACTTTCCTTAATAGCTATACTACACTCCAGCCAAACCAGCCTCTACTCATCCCTTAAATATGTTTTGAACTGGTCCAACTCTTTGCCTCTACTCTTTTCCTCCGTATTATCTACTACAAAAATTCCATTCATCCTTCAATATCAATAGTGATACTTTCCCTCATTACCTGAGTAGAAAGTAATTTCTTTTTCCTTTGAACTCTCATAATGCTACCTCATCCAGATGTTAATATCTTATAGTGTCTATCAGACTAATTCTCAAAGGGTAAGCAATTTGTCATCAACACCTGTATCTAGCCTGTGCAAGGCACTAGATCATTCCCAAAGAGGATTCTAGTGGTGCACACAAACCAGACTTAGGGGAAGTTCATTTGTGCTTAAGTTTCCCTTAGTATAAATGAGTGCTCCAAACTCCAGTAATTCACATACCACCTTAATCAATTTGATGAGTTGTGCTTAATGTATCTGTTGTGTACAGTTACTTAATGTTTCCTTCCATTAAGTTACTTTTTAACTTCAGTATCCACTTTAGCGCTGTCCTATAAAATACTACACAAAAACATGGGTTTGTCGTGTTCTATATTTTCTAATGTATATAAAATACATAACTCTTAAGGTTATAGAAATGTTTCCAGGTCATACCTAGATATTCAAAGCATATCACAAGTGGTACATTTTGTGGAAGACTGTTCTTTCCTGTCTTCAGTCAATCCAAAAATATTTGGTGAGTGTCTTTTATTTGCCATATGCTATTTTATTCTTCAGAGTAGTGGTTCTCAAATGGAGGCAATTTTCCCCCGAGGGGGCATTTATCAATGTCTAGAGGTATTTTTGTTTGTCACAACTGGAGACGGGTGCTGCTGACATCTAGTAGGTTGGGGCCAGGAACTGCTAAACATCCTACAAATGCATGGAACAGTCCCCTACAAAAAAGAATTAACCAGTCCAAAATGTCAATAGTGTCAAAGTTAAAAAACCCTGCCTTAGAGAGACAAATTCTTTTTTTTTTTTTTTTTTTTTTTTTTTTTTGAGTTTACAATTCAGTAACAATGTTATACATGATACTCTCTTTCAGTATTGTATTAGTCTCTTCTTATGTTGCTGATAAAGACATACCTGAGACTGGGAAATTTACAAAAGAGGTTTAACGGACTTATGGTTGCATGTGACTGGGGAAGCCTCACAATCATGGCAGAAGGCAAGGAGGAGCAAGTCACGTCTTACATGGATGGCAGCAGGCAAAAAGAGAAAGCTTGTGTAGGGAAACTCCCCGTTATAAAACCACCAGATCTCATGAGACTTACTCTCTATCACAAGAACAGCACGAGAAAGACCTGCCCTCCATGATTCAATTACCTCCCACTGCGTCCCTCCCATGACACATGGGAATTCAAGATGAGATTTGGGTTGGGGACACAGCCAAACCATATCAAGTATATATTCAAGTAAGAGTCAACAATCTACAGTTTTCAGAATTTCTTCTCTGTGTGCATTTCTTGTACATGGAAGTCATATTGGCACTGAACAGATTTCCAGTACCACAGCTTTAAAAATTGTAAGTGAAGACTTTATTGATCTTTATACTGTTCATACAGTTTAGAAATGACAACTTAACAATGCAGAAATGCAGTGTTCAGTACAGTACTTAGGTAGAACAAGCTAATATCCACATTATTAGGACCCCAGCATCACTAAAACTGTCAAAGAACTACATACAGAAGTATGCATCCCCAAATACAGGCTGAAGATTGCAA